AAACCTATTAAATTGTGGGCAAATAATCTCTTCAGATTATCTTTACTAAATCACATTGAGAAATAGGTACTTAAATAATATGTTATTTCAACACAAACTGCTTATTGTTGGTGCAACACAAGTGAGACAGTAGATCATTGTTGTCATTGCTAAGTTTGGTGAGAGACCTCTTAGCTAGCTGTCAGGTTTTTATGAAAATAATTACACCATGGAGTGTCTAATAAACAAAATCATTTACTTGTTTTATGTTTATGATATCTGGTTTATACTAATTTAAGCAGTTTTCCCTATGCTAAATTCTTCAATCTTTAAATCCTTATAAATTGCTGTGATGTCTTCAATAAACAGTCCTTCTGTTCAGTTTTGGAGTTATGTTTATTTACACTTTTTTTTTCATACAGCTGCCATGTTTTTCTTTTCTACTATCTTTCTGTCTCTTGCAATGACACATTAACATCAACAATTCCTTATTGTTAAGAATAAATAATTAAACAAATCAGTTCTTTTTTTTAAAAAGTTATGTAACTACAGTGGCTAAGAAAATATCTGATACAAGGTAGCATCAGGAAATGAAGTTTAACAGTCTATAACAGTTAAGACATACTGGTTTAAGATAGGAACAACTAGTTCTAGTGGTTGAAGGGTTTGATCTTCACACAGTGGCTGGTGGTGGCTGTGCACAAGCAGAACATCTGATCAGTCTCTCTACATCTAAATCCATATTGGGCCAGTAGAATTTCATGTCCAATTTCAAGTGCTTGTTTCACCATTGGTCTTGGTAACACTGTACTGTGTCCCATTAGTAAAAGTTCATCTTATGTGCTAAACTCTCCAAAGCAACTGTGATAAATCTGCAATTCTTCTGCAACTAGATTAGGCAATTTTCCCACCTCCACAATCAGCTGCTTCATTGTGTCATCCTCTGTCATTTTCTGTTTTATGTCCTCTAGTCTCATGGCTTGTACATAGTGCACAATCATTATCAACACTTTACCTAAATAAGACTCTACATATCATTTATAAACAGATTCTGTTAGGGGAAGTTGTGAAAGTGAATCTGCAACATTAGATAGATGTGTTCTGCATTATGGTTACAGGTGCTGGTCATAAAATTAGAATATCATGAAAAAGTAGATTGATTTCAGTAATTCCATTTAAAAAGTGAAACTTGTATATTATATTCATACATTACATACAAACTCATATATTTCAGATGTTTATTTTGTTTAATTTTGATGATTACAAATGACAACAAATGAAAATCTCAAATTCATCATATCAGAAAATTAGAATATTGTGAAGAGGTTCAAAATTGATGGCCCCTGGTGCCACACTCTAATCAGCTAATTAACTCAAACCACCTGCAAAAGCCTTTAAATGGTCTTTCAGTCTAGTTCTATAGGCTACACAATCATGGGGAAGACTGCTGACTTGACAGTTGTCCAAAAGACGACCATCGCCACCTTGCACAAGGAGGGCAAGACACAAAAGGTCATCGCTAAAGAGGCTGGCTGTTCACAGAGCTCAGTGTCCAAGCACATTAATAGAGAGGCGAAGGGAAGGAAAAGATGTGGTCGAAAAAAGTGTACAAGCAAGAGAGATAACCGCACCCTGGAGAGGATTGTGAAACAAAACCCATTCAAAAATGTGGGGGAGATTCACAAAGAGTGGACTGCAGCTGGAGTGAGTGCTTCAAGAACCACCACACACAGACGTATGAAAGACATGGGTTTCTGCTGTCGCATTCCTTGTGTCAAGCCACTCTTGAACCACAGACAGCGTCAGAAGCGTCTAAAGAGAAACAGGACTGGACTGCTGGTGAGTGGTCCAAAGTCATGTTCTCTGATGAAAGTAAATTTTGCATTTCCTTTGGAAATCAAGGTCCCAGAGTCTGGAGGAAAAGAAGAGAGGCACTTCATCCACGTTGCTTGAAGTCCAGTGTAAAGTTTCCACAGTCAGTGATGGTTTGGGGTGCCATGTCATCTGCTGGTGTTGGTCCATTGTGTTTTCTGAGGTCCAGGGTCAACGCAGCCACATACCAGGAAGTTTTAGAGCACTTCATGCTTCCTGCAGCTGACCAACTTTTTGGAGATGCAGATTTCATTTTCCAACAGGACTTGGCACCTGCACACAGTGCCAAAACTACCAGTACCTGGTTGAAGGACCATGGTATCCCTGTTCTTAATTGGCCAGCAAACTCTCCTGACCTTAACCCCATAGAAAATCTATGGGGTATTGTGAAGAAGAAGATGCAATACACCAGACCCAACAATTCAGAAGAGCTAAAAGCCACTATTAGAGCAACCTGGGCTATCATAACACCTGAGCAGTGCCACAGACTGATCGACTCCATGCCACGCCGCATTGCTGCAGTAATACAGGCCAAAGGAGGCCCAACTAAATACTGAGTGCTGTACATGCTCATACTTTTCATGTTCATACTTTTCAGTTGGCCAACATTTCTATAAATCCTTTGTTTTTATTGGTCTTCAGTAATATTCTAATTTTCTGATATGATGAATTTGAGATTTTCATTTGTTGTCATTTGTAATCATCAAAATTAAACAAAATAAACATCTGAAATATATGAGTTTGTATGTAATGTATGAATATAATATACAAGTTTCACTTTTTAAATGGAATTACTGAAATCAATCTACTTTTTCATGATATTCTAATTTTATGACCAGCACCTGTATATGATTACAGTCTCAGGCCAAGTCTCTGTATTCCACTCCAATGCTTGTCCTTTCCTAGAAAGCAGATTTGATCCACTCTGTTGAGAGTTAAACCCCTGCTCTTAAATCTCTGAAAAACTTGTTTTGGTCTACCTATTCTGACATTCATTTTCTCCAATGACCACAACATTATCCATGTAGCATACATCATAGATTCCGTAACCTTTTGGTAGGCTTCCTGTGGATAATCCAAAGGGAACTTTCTGAAGCGGTAGCAATCTCTATGTGTGATAAATGTTGTCAATTACAGTACCTTCTCTAAGATCTACACATTGCCTCACTTCTGTCTTTCTTGGGTACAGTAAGGATATTCCATTCGGATCCTTGATTCACTTCCTCTATGTTTCCTTTACAACGTCTAACCTGGGATAAGATACCCTCCTTAAAACTTGTGCTACTGTACATGCTGTATTTTTTCATCGACTGTAACCTGATGGTTGTAACCTTTAATTTGACTGAATATTTTGAAAACTTCCTTGTACCCTTAAAAAACTTTTCAAACCTTTCTCCTTGCTCTACCATATTGATGTTTCCACCTGATTTAATTATTTTACTGCAAAGCTGGCTCCTCTGTCCAGCTTCTACATTCCCTTTTATCACATAGGCGTTATCTCTGGCTACACATTCAAGGGAGGTTGTTTTTTTAGCCATAAAATCTTGTTTAGTTGGTCTCAGTTCTGTTTCTGCAGACATTGTTCTAGTACTGTATGTACTGTAGATCTTCACTTGAAATTTATTCCACTTCCTGTATCAATCATCATTTGCAGTCATTGTCAGACATCCAGGTCAGTCTATCACAAAAAAACGAAAAAAAAAAAGTTTAACTTTTTTGGAAAAACCTTTTTCTAATCACACTTCATTTTTCTTCTTGAATCATATGTGTGCGTAATGTCATGTTCTTTTGACAAAAGAGAGACACTGCTCTTTTAGCTCTACATTCATCTGCAATATGAATGTTCATTACACATCTTAACCACTGGGTGTCGCTGCTGGCTTGCTCTTTTTCAGCTCAACCTTGTTTATCTTTCCCCACTTTACAATGAGCTGTGACCACACCTTTCTTAGTGAAATTAACTTGACTCTTACTCCGTGACCAACACTCTCCAATAAAAGTTTTAATTTTCTCTGCGTGGTGCCTTATCTAAACATTGCCACTCCTGCTGCAACATATTAAAGCTATATAAGTACAGGCCATTTACCATTTAGTCAATCGCCAGGTTTTAAGGACACGGGGTGCTTAGCCCCAAGGAGATGCATAGGATGTAAACAACATAATTGGTGGAGCTAACAGAAACTAACAGAAAGTAGCTAGTTGCTTTTCCACTATTGAACAGATTTAATAAAGATACCAGAGTCTGGCTACGAATTACTTAGTATCAATCCAACGTGCTGATACTTGTGACTGCTACACTGAAATTAGACTGATATATTGTTTTTGTTGATGAAGCACTAAAGGGTCATGCATATTTAAAAAAAAATGATAATAAAACATTTCTTCATGATAAACTAACACAAAGGGTAATTCCTGGTACTTTTATTAAGACTAAATACAATTCCAATCACAGACAAAATGATCTATATACTGAATATAGTTAGCAGTTGCAGTATTTACAGATGCTTAAAAAGAAACTCAACAGAAGTCCACATAGGGCACAATGATAGTGTGTTCCTTGTTCTTCTGGAAGCTCTCTGCTCTTTAAACAGAACTCTGAGACTATTACAGAGCAGGTGCATTTATACGGTGATTTGATTACAGACAGGTGGATTCTATTTATCGTCATAAGTCAGAGCTTGCTGCACTGACAGTAAAGGGGCGGATTATTTTGCATGCCCCCACTAATCTGTTTTTTTATTTGTTAAAAAAGTTTAAAATGTCCAATAAAGTTTGTTCCACTTCATGATTGTGTCTCACTTGTTGATTCTTTAAAAAAACAATACAATTTTAGATTTTTATGTTAGAAGAATGAAATATTGCAAAAGGTCAGAAAATTCAAAGGTGGCAAATACTTTTACAAGGCACTTTATATGTTATATATCCCGGATATATTTCATACATTTGTCAGATGTGGAACTCCAATAGTATTTTTGGAGTTTTACTGTTGGAAGTTGTTGGTTTCTTTTTTTTTTTTTTTTTGCTTTTTATCAAAGGGTATAAAAATATCATCAGGTGTAATGAGAGGTTTGCAAACCAGACAAGGTAGTCTTTGCCTTTTTGAGGAATTACAATGTCCTAAACATTTCTAAAATAAGTTACACCCAGTAAGGAGTTTGCATTAAGATGGTTTATTTTTGTAAATGTCAACAAAGTTATAAGTCATATTTCTCCAATTGATGACTCAACAAAAGTACTCTGGTTTACAGCAGGTCTTGATTCTGAAATGAGATGAGATCAAAAAGTTAATCAAACTCAACCAATTTTTATTCGCAATAAAACTCAACCACTTCAAAAGATATACACTAAGTTAAAAATGAGTCATCACACAATATCAAACATCAAAGATCATACACAGAGCAGTAATGTCAAAAACCAGCTTTAACTTGTTTGTCACTCACTTGATCATTACTGGTTAAGTAATAGAAGTAGTTGAGCGATCAGTGCATTCAGGTCAGTTGCAGCAGTTGTTGCACCTGCTGCTGTGGTTGTGGTCGTGGTGGTCTTAGCAGAAATTAAACAAAAGGTATTATTTACTGCTAATATAATAGAAAATGATCAGCTGGGATTTAAAGTTAGTCAGAGGGGACTCTCACCTCATCTGAGTCAGAATCAGAATCAGATGAGTCAGAGCGGGCAAAGCGCTGGTGCTCCATCTGTGCACAGTTTGACATTACCTGCATTAAACTTTTTATATCATATGCTAACATTTATGAAATTAAACATAATTTTATGCTTACAGGTTTGGCCACAATGAGGCTCAGGAGGCATCCGAGAACAAGTGCTACCTTCAGCATGGTTACAGTGATCTGACCTTTAGGACAACAAAGTTTAAAATTACTTTCTGAAAAACACATCGGTGAAAGTCTATAGACTGGATCATTAAATAAATTCATTACAGAGACTATCAGTTGCTCTTACCTTCAGTTGGCTTCTTTACAGACAAGTGAAGAGGCTGTAATGTTGCTTTTTGGATGTTGAAGTTCTCTTTTATACCCTTACAGATGCAGAAGCGTTTCAAAACTGGGATTACATTTTTCACCAACTTGTTTCAAGGTGTGGCTGAGAATTAAAGACTTAAACATATTGCATTGTGGAAAAATATCCCTAATAGTTATTGGATTGCTTACAATTGGGTAAAAATGGATAATACACGTCACTGCGACCGTTATAGTCAGTGTTATAGTCACACATCAGTGTGTGAGTGTGTGTGTGAATGGGTGAATGAATGTAGTGTAAAGCGCTTTGGTCAAGTCTCCTAACTTGAATAAAGGCGCTATATAAGTACATGCCATAGTCCATTCTTAGGGCACCAAAAGCAAGACAGCAGATTAATTTACAAATTGCTGAGATCTTTCTTTGATTAATATACTACCTGAATGAAGGAAGCCTCACCAGAGGAAGTTGTCAGATTTTTATGAAAAAGATTATGTATATCAAGGAGAGCCTTATTAACAAATTATTTTTCTTTTTTGTGTCTGGATTTTTTTAAAATATATATATAATGAGATTAACAGTTAGGTTATTTATAGTTAGGCTTTGATAAAGACACATCAGTGCATTTATTTCTTTACTTTATAGTGGTTATATTGTAGTTAGTCATATTTTCTGATGCATATTTCATAAAACCTATAGATATTGGATTAAATCATGATTTTTTCAGATATTCTGGGTTTGTTAATCCTACACTAGCTTTAACAAAAGCAGCAGCACATATGTTATGTTCAGTTATGTTGTGTTTAGATCCGATTGTCTAGTATGTTTTTCAGTGCTTTAAGTTGTACTTGAAATCTTAGCAGCCACTATTTGCTGCACATTTAGAAGCATATTTTCATTAGCTTTTCACAGAATATAAGGCTATAGTATTGCATGTAAATTGCATGTAAATTCCTATTCATTCATTCATACATTAATTCATTCATTCATTAATGTAACAGGATTTAGGCTACATATTATGAGGTGCCCCCAGGGACATAAATCAGAATTAACTTGCATATACACATATTAAATTACACTCTTCCATATAATATATTGAAAACCTCACACAAACACTAGTAAAAAGCTCTCACATAAACTAGTGAAAACATTTACCTCTTATATAATCTACTCAAAAGCTCTCATACAAAGTAGTGAGAACTGTTCATATAAACTGGTGAAAAGCTTTACCTTTCATACGCACTACTAGAAAGCTTTCATATACACTATTAAAAAGCTCTCATATACACTACTAGAACGCTCTCATATACACTACTAGAACGCTCTCATATACACTATTAGAAAGCTCTTATATACACTATTAGAAAGCTCTCATATACACTATTAGAACGCTCTCATATACACTATTAGAAAGCTCTTATATACACTATTAGAAAGCTCTCATATACACTACTAGAACGCTCTCATATACACTACTAGAACGCTCTCATATACACTATTAGAAAGCTCTTATATACACTATTAGAAAGCTCTCATATACACTACTAGAAAGCTCTCATATACACTATTAGAACGCTCTCATATACACTGTTAGAACGCTCTCATATACCCTATTAGAACGCTCTCATATACACTATTAGAATGCTCTCATATACACTATTAGAAAGCTCTCATATACACTACTAGAATGCTCTCATATACACTATTAGAACGCTCTCATATACACTATTAGAACGCTCTCATATACACTATTAGAAAGCTCTCATATACACTATTAGAACGCTCTCATATACACTACTAGAAAGCTCTCATATACACTATTAGAAAGCTCTTATATACACTATTAGAAAGCTCTCATATACACTACTAGAAAGCTCTCATATACACTATTAGAACGCTCTCATATACACTGTTAGAACGCTCTCATATACCCTATTAGAACGCTCTCATATACACTATTAGAATGCTCTCATATACACTATTAGAAAGCTCTCATATACACTACTAGAATGCTCTCATATACACTATTAGAACGCTCTCATATACACTATTAGAACGCTCTCATATACACTATTAGAAAGCTCTCATATACACTATTAGAACGCTCTCATATACACTACTAGAAAGCTCTCATATACACTATTAGAACGCTCTCATATACACTACTAGAAAGCTCTCATATACACTATTAGAAAGCTCTCATATACACTACTAGAAAGCTCTCATATACACTATTAGAACGCTCTCATATACACTACTAGAAGGCTCTCATATACACTACTAGAACGCTCTCATACACGCTACTAGAAAGCTCTCAAACACACTACTGGAAAGCTTTCATACACACTATTAGAAAGCTAAAATATATGGTCCCCCTCCTTAAATTTAGGCAAACATTGCTCAAAGATCACCGAATCCAGATGGTTTGTTGTTGATGAAGAGAGGAATAAACACAGTTTAAGATATGCAGCTAAATTAATTTGTTTCCATATTATGGAACTGCTATCAGGCACTTCCCATCATCTTATATCAGTAATAAAAAATTATAAATACAAATTTGGTATTTGGTGACTTGACTTTTATTTCTGTCAGGCTGAAGTGAAAAAACTTGGAAAGAGACTGATTCTCTTGGCGTTTAAAATAACAACACAAAACAGCATAAGAAAACCGCATTTATTTTTTTTATTTTACAATTTTGTAAACAACAGCGGCTGATTAAACTAAATGTCTCAACCTTGTATAATTTTACGACTTTTTATTTAACCAAGAAATGATCCGAAAGGCCTGGGAAATGATCAGATCCGCTTATGTGGCTGCAATTTGCGGCGCGCTCCCGACACAGGTGGAACAGATTTTCACATGGGAACAGAATTTCGCACAACAACGGAAAAGGATCTCTGTTGAAGCAAAAACATAAAAAATAAAGTCGAGTAATGCCCATGCTTCTGTGAGTTGTTTAGCGGATAGCTGAGCATGAATCAATAATTTTATTTCATACAATTTCGGCCGGAGATAGCACAAAATGTACGGAGCTAGCCAGAATGACCTCCGTTTAAAACAACTTCCGGTGTAATGACGGTCCTTCCTGTTTCACTGAAACACCTTCCGTTTCAACTGAAATCCGCTAATAGCTTTTCAGTAGTGTGTATGAGAGCTTTCTAGTAGCGTGTATGAGAGCGTTCTAGTAGTGTATATGAGAGTGTTCTAGCAGTGTATATGAGAACTTTCTAGTAGTGTATATGAGAGCTTTCTAATAGTGTATATGAGAGCGTTCTAATAGTGTATATGAGAGCGTTCTAATAGTGTATATGAGAGCTTTCTAGTAGTGTATATGAGAGCTTTCTAATAGTGTATATGAGAGCTTTCTAATAGTGTATATGAGATAAGGTGACCAGATTTCTGAAATCAAATCTGGGGACATTTCTTGCTCGTGGATAAAAATCAATACATCTTATCGAGATGAAATTAGGAAACGGGGACAGTAATGGTTTCATATATTTTTACGTATTTATTAATATTTAAACAACAAAAATCAAGTGTAAAAGCCAGGAATGTGCCTTTCCAAACGTTTAGTATATCCTAAGATTAATAACATGAATAGTGTTATTAGTAGAAAACTAGAACTGTGTCTCTGGGTTGGGGCAAAGTGGTGGGGGTGGGAGCGGAGGGGTCAAGGGTCATTAGCAGGGCTTTCCAATTTTGGAGGCCCAATGAGCTCTGCCGCCTCCTAAGGGGAGAGTGACATGAGGAAAAGAAATTTAGAAAAGTAAATACAAACATTTATTCCATGCCTGTGGCTGTCTGTTGAGACAGAGTTTCCCCACCTCTTCAAAAAAGTGCAACAAATACTTATTCTGTTTACATCTACTTTACATACCTATAAGAAATATTTTTTTTCTTCATTAACATAAAAAAAACAAGTAGTAGTCAAGCCTGCAGGTAAAGGTTCATATATGTTTCTTACTGTCACCTAGCCAGATCAATTAAATTTAGTTTATTTATATAGCGCCAAATTCACAACACATGTCATCTCAAGGCCCTTTACAGTTCAACCAGATCATACAGTCAAATCGATACAAAGTTTTCTATCTAAGGAAAACCAGTTGATTGCATCGACTCATTGACTCTTCAGCAATCCCTCACACTAAGCATGCTTGTAGCGACAGTGGAGAGGAAAAACTCCCTTTGAAAAGGAAGAAACCTCCAGCAGAACCAGGCTCAGTGTGAGCGGCCATCTGCTGAGGCCGACTGGGGTTCAAGGAGACAGAAGCAGAGATACAAAAAGCAGCTGTATAAGGCGGCCCGGTCCAGGAAACACACAGCCAGGCAGACGAGCTCCGAGCCAGCTACCATGCCAGAGGACGAAGAGAGCACATCCAGTTAGTCACAGTCAGAGAAACAGGACTACACTGGAAAACAGGCCGATCTCCAACATCTATAAACAAGGGTGTTGATGGCAGCAGCACAGCTGATGTTTCTTTCCAGGATGGAGTCACAGCCAAACAGGAACAGACGAGGCAAAGCTACTCTGAGGAAAAGCAGAGAGAGCAGAACGTTAGAGATTGAACTAACAGATTCTGCAGAGTGGGAGAATAGAGATAGAATGAAGCAGAATGATGAAAAAGGGGTCCCTATGTCCTCCAGCAGTCTAAGCCTATAGCAGCAGAACTATAGAGATAGATCAGGATAACCTGAGCCACTCTAACTAGAAGCTTTATCAAAAAGGAAAGTTTTAAGCCTAGCCTTAAAAGTAGACAGGGTGTCTGCCTCACGGACTAAAACTGGTAGTTGGTTCCCCATCAGGGGCCTGTGTGTCTCAAAGTAGCAGGTTCATTTTTCCTACTAACCTGAGTATACAGCCACTCTGTGTTCCACAGCATACTTTGCACACTACATCACTCAATATGTTAGTTTATCACTCAAATCATGTCAACGCTTTATCACTTGAACTTTCTTAATACATATTATACATTTTAAATGTTTGAAACAGAAATATTAACTGAACAGGGTCTGAGGCAGTGGCCCTGGTAATTTGGGTAAAATAATATAAGAGAAGACATAGCAAGTAAAAAGCAAAATAACCTTTTTAATGTCTTAAACAAGTTTAACCATTGAACAGCAGAATAGGC